TTTTAAGGAAGTGTAGTATACGTCAAAGCGTCGTTTTTGGATCCATAATGTCGCAATACAAGCAAAACACATTAGAAAAGGACCGTTTTGACTGAAGGTTTTTCAAAAATTTCACAAAACTTGATCATATTGAATTTTGAAGAAAAAATATAGTAATATGCATTAGTTGAGAATTGACTAATCCCGGGAAGGGAGAGGGCTTCTTTCGCTTTAATAAAAATTGTACGAACCACTTCAGTGATAGTAACTTGAAGAGCAACTATCATGTACTATCGGCTCTCCGATTTCTCCGGATTATCCTATGGTACAGGGGAGACGGGCCCTCAGTCCATTAATCATTCCGGGAATTCGATCTTACACGTTGTTGCCATTTATGACAGCGCGCACTGGCATCGCGCCAACGTTGTCAGTGGATTGCCAGGCGGCAGACTATTACATCTTTAGGGATGACGTCGGAAGGCGGTGGAGCTGTTGCGTTTCCTGTAATGACACTCGGGCTGAAGCTTGCTCCAAGCACAGCCAGAGATTTCTCGTTGATCGTCCAAGCAATAGGTGAGTACGGGCCTTGGACATAGAACTTGTCTCATGTTAGAAATCACCAAAAACAATTCCTAAAAAGACTTTTGAAGCGTTCGAAGTAACGATCAGCTCTTAGAGGCAGCAGTCAATTGCAGAAATAATAGTGAAAATTAATGTTGAAATGAAGAATGCAAAGTGAAATTTTTTGCCTGACCACCTTCGAATGGTTTTTCGCTTCAAAATCAGTAGTTGAGTTGTCGAAGACGGTGACTAGCCCCATCCATCTAGTCGCATTTCCTAGGATCCGTTCCCATGCACATGGCAAAAACCCAATTTTTAAAGTGATGACAGATCATATGAAGCGAGTGTGAAAAGAAGTTTGGCATTGTGATTAAATGTCCCTTCGCTTATTGACTTGTCAATCAACCGCTTCGCAGCCGTGCGCGTCCCATTAGGTTCCTGTTCCCAGTGTTGCTCCACTTTCTGTCAGAATTCACTTATCAAGCCGCAAACTTTGCGGGGAAAAGTACAAGTTGGGACAACGATTTGCCTCTTGGTAAAACCGACTCCTAAAGAGTGCCCTTTTCTCAAAGAAAATGAAATAGCTTTGAAGCTAGTTTCTCAATCCAATCGATGATTGCATTGGCTGCTTTCATAGTCCGCCGGC